TTTAAAGAGGCGTGGGGGGGGGGGGATAGGGGGAGGGAGTAGGCCGACAGCTGCCACGCCGATAAGCATGTATAACACGCAGTCCTCACAAGCATCATCGGCCCACTCAGTGCATTAGCATATCAAAGAGGCACAGCCTGAGAATGTCTACTCGCGTTCCCCCAACCCCCCTGCACACCCCCCCACCCAGTCCCCAGCTTCACCCCCTCCCATCCCACGGCCACCACCGCCACCCAATCTCGGGCAACCCACCGAGACAACCGGAACGCGCTTTGGAAAGCGGCGGAGGCCAAACTCGCCACCCAATTATCAGCGACGGCGCAAAGAAACGGACAACGCCAATGTTCGTGCCACCCCGCATGGCAATGAGCGGGCAGCAGTGGCGGTGAGGTGGGGGGCATAATCAAGCCAAGACACAGCTCAGGGACCCAAGTAGCTCAAGAGTGCCCCCCGCCAGAGTCGTGAAAACGTACGGGGGTGACAAGCCAAATATCAGCTCGAATTCGAATCCCAGAGGACGTAATAAGATATTCAATCTGAAGAGCCAATTAATCTCTCTCGTCGCCGCTGTCGTCCAACTGAATCTCGTGGTCGTTCGTCTGCATGTCTCGCGCGTCTACCTTTCACTCTTCTCGCTAAGCGCGCATCTCTTTGTCGACATCGCTTATCACCTCGCTAGGACTGTTTATTATATTTATATGCGGTCGTCGAATGGGCCGGGGGAGGTGGTGGTGGTGGTGGTGGTGTTTGGGGGGGGGGGGGTCTCCAATTTTATTCCCACTGCGGAGCGAGGGCGGGGAGTGAAACGAGGCGGAAATCTCAAGACGCAGATGCGCCGGTATCACCGGCAAAATGTGGCGTAATGTTGCATCGCCGCATACGATTTACATCGCATTAGCCGCATTTAAATAAAATGATAATGACCTCTCTTTTGAAATTCCAAATTGGCCGCACAATTGAGCGCATCTCTTTTGGAAAAGGAGCCATTTAGGAGATGTTTTGAGGTGGATAAACGCCAGCTTTTTTGCAGAAGCACTTGATCTGTTCTCAGTATATCACTGCAGACATACATGGCAATTACAAACTGAGCCGACGTTAAGTGCCCGTGAGAAAAATGCATCATTCAGATCAAAATAAACATTTGAAATTGGTGCGCTTATATAATTATGGCATTTATATAATAATCATCGTCAGTGTGAGGGCCGCCACACATCATAATTATTATTATAATCTTAAAAATTATTATAATCTTAATAATTATTATAATCATAATTATTATAATTATAATAATTATTATGATTATTATAATCTTAATTATTATTATAATCTTAATAATTATTATAATCATAATTATTATTACAGTGCCTTGTCTATTCCACTGCTGGATGAAGGCCTCCCCCACGATCTATCGATCATGGGGGGTGTTTGACCATACTTCACCACACTGATCAGTGAAGTTTGGTGCAGAAGGCGTGGGGACTGGATCGGTTCAATCTTAGCCATGGGCCGGAGTCAAGCAGAGGTGGTGCGTAACTGGCTTCATAACAAAGTAAGCTAACCACTGCACCGCCACTCCATTTCGTAGACGGAACATTATAATGCACATCGAGGTAAAAGTAGTAGGTGTCTGTTCGAAATAAAACCTTTTTTTTGGAGTAAAGTCAAACAGAAAATTGAAATAAAGGTAAGTGCAGGGTTTCATTGATCACCGAATATTTTCCAGATTGTTGTTCAGACTGGAATGAGGCACATGACTCATTCCACGTGACTCATTCCACGTGACTCATTCCAGCACGTGCCGAGAGGAATACTGGAAGTGGTGTGCCGGGTGTTGTTTTGTTTTTGGCAGTCATTTGACCCGGACAGTCCTTGTTGGATTATCCAGTGTTCTTCACTAATGTTCAGAGGGGGGGGGCACTTTCGCCGATAAGACATCACCAATTTTCTTGTTGTGGTTTTCACACCTGATGATGATTGCTCGTGTTGCAGTCGAAACGTCGTGAGAATTTTATTGTTTTATATTTTTATTATTTTATTGTTTCCCTTCTACGTGGTGACTTTACCGAAAGAACCAAGAATAAGACATCGCCAGCGTGAGGGCCGCCACACATTTGAAACCATTGGGCCTTTGACAGCAGCACGATGACGATGGGGGGTGTCCTCCCTTTGGGCCGCACGAAACACCAGTCGTGGCCCGCAGGCCTCGCGATGACAAACACTGGGTCAACCCCTACTCAAGCGCATCCTATAATATCCGGTAACATTCTGAAGGAATCTGCACTCGGTACACCCCCTCCTCCATGGCCCACAGAACTTCACCCTCACATGAGTGGCGAAGTCAATCCACCAAAACTGGCCCCATCGAGCGCCTCCACGTCGTTCGCCACGCGCAGCGACAACACCGCCCTCGATACACTCCACACGCAAAGGGAACAATTTGGCTGCGAGATCTAAACCGGGGTGTGCTGGGACAGTGTCCTTAATTGGCACACCTGCCAATACAAGCGGGAGCAACGTGCAAGCTTCGTGCCCCGAGCCGGTGACCTCTGAATGCAGTGACAATGCTCGGCCATTTATCATCTCCGCGGGCGCCTTTCGCGGGTTCTAAGGGGCGACAGAGACGTTCTCGCCGGCGTCACGTTTGTCGATCCGTCCGTGCGTCCCGCCTGCCCCGCCTGCCACGCGACGCCCATCCCGACGCCTGGCGCCCACCCAGCGATCCGTGCACGGGAGGCGGCAGATGCCCGGCCCGGCCCGGCGCCTGCCAGCTGTGGCGGGGGCGCGGAGGCCGACGCGGCCGTTTTGAGATTCGGTAACAAACAAAAAATCTTCGCCACAAAATCCAACCACATCGCCACCACTGCCACTGCGAGGGAAATCCATCTCCACCTACCACTGACCATCATTCACCTACCACCCATCTCCACCCACCACCAACCATCCTTCTCCAACGACCACCCCTCTCCACCTATCACCTTTTACCTAACACTGACCATCCTCCACCTATCACGTAACATCCTTCACCTACCACGTACCATCCTTCTCCACCTACCACCCATCTCCACCTACCACCTACCATCCTTCTCCACCTACCACCTTTCACCTACCACTGACCATCCTTCTCCACCTACCACCTACCACCCATCTCCACCGACCACGTACCATCCTTCTCCACCTACCACGTAACATCCTTCTCCACCTACCACTGACCATCCTTCTCCACCTACCACCTTTCACCTACCACTGACCATCCTTCTCCACCTACCACCTTTCACCTACCACTGACCATCCTTCTCCACCTACCACCCACTCCACCTACCACCCACCACCTACCATCCTTCACCACCTTTCACCTACCACTGACCATCCTTCTCCACCTACCACCCATCTCCACCTTTCACCAACCACATACCATCCTTCTCCACCTACCACCTAACACCCTTCTCAACCTACCCAAGTGCAATCACAGGTCATCTCAAGCTCAGCTGCGCAAGCCACAGGGCCCACCAACGGTACTGTACACGTGTGTACACACGTGTACGTCTACACGTGTGTACACACGTGTAAACGTACGTACACACACGCACGTGACCCACCGCTTTGGGGGCAAGGGTTGGTGGGTTATCGTTCAGCTGTGTGAAACTGCAAGGTGGCCAAGAAATGGTTAAACATACCAAGGGATTCGTTTGTCATCGAATATTTTTTTTTGCCAGGTCGCTGGTCGACAGGGAGTAAGTGGCACGTGACCAGTAGTCGCCGCAGCCATAGCGAGAGGCAATATTATCAGTCCACGAACCGGACACAGGTGGATGAACTTAATCCATGTGTAGTACAGAAAGTAGGTTCGTGAAATTGGGTTGTGTGGGACCTTTAAGTACCACCCCCCTCATACGTGCTGATATTCTCTATGGGTTTTCTTGAGATTTTTCCAGTTTCCTTCCACAGAGAAAACACTCCTTGAAAGCGTAGTTGGTCGAAGAGCCCAATGCAGGACCCTCATTAAAAAAGGAGTGGAGACTCTGCGAAGCTTTCCAGGACAAATAAAGGGCGTTTAATACAACTATAAACAATTTTTGTATTTTACCAGGTAAGGCCCACTGAGCTATGTGGCTCTTTTTCAGAAGCGACCTGGCCACAAAGAGATTGCTCAACGAAGTGGCTTGTCATCGCGTGGAAATTTCTTGCAGCCAAATACTCCAAACGCATGTTTCTAAATGTGAAGGTAAAAACCAGAGGACCAGGAGGAAAATCTACGTGACCACGAGGAGAGAGACATGCAAACTCTAAATATACAGGTGTCAGGGTCGGGATCGAACCCACAACCTCCTGTATACCAGGCGAGTTAGTTAACATCTTGCCACCGTGGCGCCAACACGAGCTGCTCCATGAGGTCCACGTCCTCAGCAAGAGGAGAAACTTGTCACTTGGAGGTGTCAAGTCAGGAGAGACTTTGTAAATGCTGTATTCATGGTGCACAAAGCATGGGGAGTTGCTTGTTGGGAATGACCGAGACACAGAAAGAGGACTGCACAGATGATGGGTCTTGACGGTTTAACAATCTTAGGCTCAGATTTAGTCATCATTACCACATATCCTCCATCATACGAAAGCATTGTACATGACCGTGGTATGGCATGGTTGTCATTGAGCCCGGTGCAAGGAATGAAATGGGATCCCCCCCTCCCCTTGACTGCCATCCCCCCCCTCTTTGCAGCCCAGCGCTTGGACCACTCTGGCCGGTCGACCTCGGTGCAGCTGCACCGCCTGCACAATCGATGTGACAACGTCCACAACTTAAGTGACCCAAACGGAAGCCCCCAAACGGCATGGGGGCTTCCTTCCTTTAAGACGCGAGACACAGATCCCAGAGGCTTCATCCCAGGAGTGGCCTCTCCTCCTGCATGGGAGAACAGCAGGACTCGCGCACGCCCCGCAAGCAACGTGCACACGCACGGACACGCGCACGAACGCACGCACGGACACACACCACACCCTCTCACCTTCTTCTTGGAGAACCTCTCACTCTGCCGGGCCACTTGAGATTTTCCGTGCGTCTCGCCAGGCCTTATTGTTATCCTGATGGCCGGCTGGGCGGCGAGGGCGGTAGTGGCGTCGGTGATGGCGGTGGGGCGCAGTCCAGCCAATTCCATCTGCTGCTGCTGCTGCCGCTTGGCACCACGCCGCATGCTCTGTATCTTGAGCTTTAGCCCACCCTCCGCAAAGTTCGTCTCGGTGATGGAGAACTCCCGGTCGTGGTCGCACGAGACGGTGGCGGCGCCGCTCGGCTGCTCGTGCGACCGAACGGTGCCCGGGTCCGGCGTCGGGCCACACGCGGCTGCCGTCGGCAGCATCCTGCGCATCGCGGAGGCTTTTGGCGACTCGGCAGCGGCGGAACTTGGCTCACCGACGGAGCGACCTCCTCCCGAGCCGCATCGGCCCACGATCCCTTCGGACGAATCAACGCCGCAGCTCAATTGTGGTGGCTCAAGGGATGGCGGCTCGGACGATTAAATGCGGCAGCTTCATAACCGTAGCTCCCTCGCTTGCGTTTCTATATATATAAATATATCATTGGTTAATCCTCTTCAACGGAAGTCCACCGTCCCTCAAATGTTCCCCGGAACGCCGAGGCGAAGCAGGATCGAAAGCCTCGGGATGCAGCCGATGATCAGGCCGCAAAGACACCGCCGTTCATCTCTGCGAAGGCACCAGCAGAATGCGAGTGGTTGTTATCCGCAGGTAAAAGTACACGGGCGCCTCCACGTACAGGCCTTCGCTTCGCCATCATCATGAAACACAACCGCTCCTGTGAATGCTGGAAATGCAGCGCATATGTATCAATATCATTTAAATACTGGGAAAATTTGTGTTGTAGCGTGGTTGGTATAGGCCCCGGGGTTCGTGGGCCCCAGTGCAGTTGCACCGCCTGCACACCTGATAGCACACCACTTAAGGAGGAAACTGTGCCAAAATTAGCGTCTAATAAGTCACTTATTTACTCGGGAAAGTCTCAATACTCTAAACTCTTTTTCAGGGTGTGCCCTGAAATTGGGACGTTTGACCAGTTCCGGTCGCGAGTGTTTAACACGTGGGACCAAATACGGAATCCCGGAGAAAACCCCAGCATACAAGGGGAATAATCGCACAGATGGCAAGCGGGATGACGCAGAGCTCCCAATCTTCAAACCATGAGTTCAAAACCCAACCGGATGAACTTGGCCCATCATCATCATCCCTTTGAGGTTGGTTAAACATGAACCACAACCATGAGGCTACAGCGCTCAGTAATGTGTCAACTATTGGTCTTTGGATAAATTGGATCCTACCATGGGAATGTGGAATGTCCACCAATGGGTCAGCACTGTTAGATACAGATGCACGTCACCAAAGTTTCATTCGAGCATAGCACCAATGGGACATTCTTCTTTGTAATCATATAGATTCATCATGACCATCAACAACAAGAGTCTTGACCACTCTACTGCTGGATGACAACCTCCACAAGCTGCAATATTGTATGATTATTATTCTCAAATACCAATCAGGTCCTAAGAAAATAAATCCCTGCCATGAACATATTGTAAAACACGCATCACGTGGTTTATGATATAGATATATATCAAGTATATCATAAATCACGTTGTTTATGATGCACGGTCAACTCCAATCAAGTCAAAATAAATAGGGCCTCTCTCGATGAATCTCGGAAGCTAAGCAGGTATATACGAGCCTGGCCAGTGCTTGGATGAGTGACCACCAGGGCTTGCCAGGTTTTGTAGGTGTGGCCAGTAGATGACAGTGCTGAGTGTTACCTCTTTATACAGAGCACCGGTGCTGTGCTGGGATTTCTCCTGCAACGAAAGTTTCTTGCCACACGAAGACAAACTCCCATGATGAATAGAATCAATGGCCAAACTCCAAATGCAGCAGAACCCTCCTAAAGTTGATGCGAATCCTTCCTCAATCCATGAGCTGACACTTATTGTTAAAACTATGATGATGGTATTCTTGTAAAGCGTGTATTTGTGTGGGCCATCTCCAATTTAAAATCCGAATTATATCATCCAATACAGTTGCACAAACTACGGAATGGTGACAGGAAAACATTTTAAGAAACACTTTAAGAATGTAGCATCTGCGGTGGTCCCAGTTTTAGTTACGTATTGTTATCACCAAGGATTATTTGTGTTATTTGTGCCGTGCCTCCGGTGTTTATTGTTTTGGTTCTGCATTAATATCCCTCCACGTGGAACTGCCACTGACTACTAATGTGCCGCCCTCCCACAGCCAAGGCACACACCAGCATCAACACGAGCCTATAGCATCCCCAAATACAACCACGTGTCATCCCATGCGTAAATACAGCACGAACCCCAGCTAGATACAGTGTATAATCACCAGCCATGGTCAATCCACTGCTGGATGAAGATCTTCCATAATTCGCCGGCATGCATCGCAATCCTACGAACTCTCTACCGAAGCCCTCTGCTCGCGGCTAGCAGAGCTCGACATTTAGCTACTGAAGGCATTTCCATTCGCCACAATAATAATAATCCACCTAACACCTGCACTAGAGCTGAGCTCATTGCACCGCTCCATCTCTCACGGTCACGTGCTCTCGGACGCGTTACATCCCTTGGCTGCCTCGACCATCAGTCCCCTTCTCTCCGTGGCGCGTCCTGCACAAAGCGCCACGCTCTCACTTTCCGCCACAGTTTGGATGATGTCATTAAACTTGCGTGCGCGTGTTCTCTAATCCACGTGGTTGCTTCCTCCATGCAGCACTTCCACATCCCGCATACAGTCTAGAATTTACACAGTACTGTACTGCATTTAACTAATACACTGCTCTGGATACACGTGTACGCATTCGTACTCCCGCTGGTCGTAAGCACATTTATACATGAATAATTGCAACAATGTAAATTTAGCAATAAGCCGTGTAGATTCAGCATACATTCACATCATTATTTAATTATATATGCCTATGCAATACGTTATTATATTGCTAGATATACATACACACATAAATCGCTATATAGCCTATACAGACTGTTGGTGCAAGTGTTGTCAGCGAACACCTATTAAGGCTGGCACGACGCACCATGGGGGGTGGTTGTGGCCAGAAACCACAAGGCATGTCCGCCTTTGTCTCCCCAGGCTATCGTTTTGTTTTTGACACACGGCACCAGGTGCTCATTTAAGACTGAGTCTGCCTAGGAGGATGGGCTGGGCCCACAGGCACCACTCGGTCCGCTGCAGGTCGGCCTTGCGCTGCTACTGCTGCTACTTGACGTGGGATCGCTGGGATCGCTGGGACCGCTGGGATCGCTGGGACCGCTGGGATCTCTGGGATCGCTGGGACCGCTGGGATCTCTGGGATCGCTGGGATCTCTGGGATCGCTGGGCTCGCTGGGATCGCTGTGACCGCTGGGATCTCTGGGATCGCTGTGACCGCTGGGATCTCTGGGATCTCTGGGATCGCTGGGATCACTGGAATCTCTGGGATCGCTGGGATCGCTGGGTTCGCTGGGATCGCTGTGACCGCTGGGATCGCTGGGTATCGCTGGGATCTCTGGGATCTCTGGGATCTCTGGGATCGCTGGAAACTCTGGGATCGCTGGGATCGCTGTGATCGCTGGGTTCGCTGGGATCGCTGGGCTCGCTGGGATCGCTGGGCTCGCGGCGAGCGCACCAACTGCTGCGCCACCGCTCCGCACGACATCGATCATCCACTCGCGCAAATATCCAGGACACACAAGCAACGTTGCGGGGACCGCACACTGCTCACCATCCGTGGAAGCTACGGCAGAGCAACATCTCTTACATTCGTGTTCAAATTCATTCTCTTGGTTTGCTTTTGTATTTAATTTGTTCGTCAAAAAAACAGACAAGCTTCTTATTTCAGTACAATACAAACATCTCCCTGTTATCCACCAAGCGCGGTCGTGCGTGCGAGGATGTAGTTGCTACACGTGTGTAGTTGTTTACATGTGTTGTGACATGTGTGCGCGAAGTATGTGACGCGCGCGTGCGTTGCGGACGGGAGCGGTGGCGCAGTGGTTAGCGCACTGCGCTACGACTCCGGCGTTCTCGAGTCCCGCTCGTGACCACCAACGATCTGTGCAGAGTATCGGGACCGGTCCTGGGGCTTCCCCTACGTCGACTCGGCCTTAAAACGAGTAACCTGCTGCTGTGGCGTGTGTGTGTGTAAACACCTGCACTGGAAAGACAAAGGCGGCCGGTCGTGGTGCTGGTCAGCCCTAGAGCGCCGTGGTGGCCTCCGTAGGAGCTCGCTGTAAGCACTTACCCCAACCGCCTGCGAAGGCTATAGGGGTGATCTTTGCATTATCTTGAGACATGTCAAGCACATGTATGCTGAGCTAAGTGCATGCTTAAGCCCATGTAATAATACTATGCCTGTACATGGTGATTCGTGTGTATTACATGTAGTTAGCATGTACCATCTCACGCGTGTAACATGTAATTGACCACACATATAAGCGGCACCTTGCGTGTAATAATAATATATATTACACACAAGCTGTTTTGCTGTGAGTGAGCGACGCTTTTTGCTGCGCTGCTGCCGCGTGTACTGCTGCAACTGTCCGATCGCGTATACATCCCATGTGCCGTGTGCCTTCTATCGTGTGGTTATGTAGGAAATTTGTGTAGACGTGTGTGTGTACACGTGTGTGTGTGTAGCATGGGGAGCGGTAGTGTAGCGGTCAGCGCGCTGCGCTATGAACCTGGCGACCCGGGTTCGATTCCCGCTCACGGCCAACACCAGTGACGATTATCTGAACCGGTTCCGGGCCTCCCCTAGGTCGACTCAGCCTCAAATGAGTACCTGGTGCGGTGTGTAAACATTGCCACTGGGGAGACAAAGGCGGTCGGGCGTGGTGCTGGGCACCCACCCCCTCGTGTACCGTTCCGGCCTTCATAGGTGCTCGCTAACAGCACTTGCCCCTACAGTCTGTTAAGGCTATACGGGGGATCTTTGTCTTTGTGTGTAGTATATGTTGCGTATATACGCACGTGTTATACAATTTCCCAACGTGTACGTACACACATTTGTGTGTCGTGCAGTATATTTTAAGTGCAGTATATACGGACGGACTGCAGAATACACTGCGCTTACACGCGTGTGTTCAATAGAGTATCTACTCACTGCAGTACACACGGCGTGTATGTACACGTGTGTAGTATATGAGTGCACGATATACTTTGTGTAAACGTGTGTGTGTACACGTGTGCAGTATATACTGACTGCAGTACACACGGCGTGAACACGTGTGTGTAGTATGGTTGTATACTTTGCGTACACGTGTGTGTGTACACGTGTGTGTGTACACGTGTGTGTGTACACGTGTGTGTGTACACGTGTGTGTGTACACGTGTGTGTGTACACGTGTGTGTGTACACGTGTGTGTGTACACGTGTGTGTGTACACGTGTGTGTGTACACGTGTGTGTGTACACGTGTGTGTGTACACGTGTGTGTGTACACGTGTGTGTGTACACGTGTGTGTGTACACGTGTGTGTGTACACGTGTGTGTGTACACGTGTGTGTGTACACGTGTGTGTGTACACGTGTGTGTGTGTAGTGGTGCGGTCCGCACGAACCTGGACGATGCTCGCTCTGCGCTGCCCGGCTCTCTGCGCCGCTCTAACCCGCGAATGGGGATGGTGAGAATGGTGCCAGATGAGGACCCCCCCCCACTACAGCCCAAGACCCGTGCTTTGCGCATGCGCACTGCCAGCAACCGACGGATTTTTCGATGCTCCGGGATTTTTTTGTTTGTTTGCGAGGGATGAGGCTGGGAGAGGGTTGATGATGGGGTTGGGTGATGGGGTTGGGTGATGGGGTTGGGTGATGGGGTTGGGTGATGGGGTTGGGTGATGGGTGATGGGGGGTGGGTGATGGGGGGGGGGTATGTGGGGTGGGTAATGGGGTTGTGTGATGGGGGGGGTGTGGCGGCTGGGGGTGATGGGGGGGGTAATGGGGGGGGGGGTGATGGTAGTGGTGAGTTGTGTTGGTGGTGGGTGCGTGGCGGTGAGTGGTGATGGTCACGGTGTAGCGGTGATGCGTTTTTTTGATGGTGGATGGTAGTGCCAGTAATGTGACAGTGGGATTTGTGAGTGATAGACCCCTCTGAAGGAGCATCTGCGCTGGTTTGAAACAATCAGACTGGCCTGCTTACGATCCATCCTGGAATGAACCGGACTGGATTGTGTCGCGCAGATCCTTGAAAGACCGACCAGGGCACAGTCCCATCGGTGAGCTCCTCCGACAGGCGAAGCTGTGTTGGCTGGATTACGCAGCTCACATGCCCAGCCACTGCATGCCCAAGCAGCTTCTGGTTGACCAGATAGAGAGGGATGAACGGGCGCGGCACGGGCTAGAGAAGAGATTTGGAGCAAAGTGTGCTTGCCGATGACTGGTATCACTCGTGTCAAGATCGGCCTCTGTAGAGGAGGCTCGTGAAGGTCGACAATGGGCAGTTGGAGGCAGTTACCTTTCAAACACAGAGGGGGAAGGAGGAATGACGCTCACAACAACGAGCGGAGTGCCGGACGGCCAAAACCAAGCAAGTTCGCACAGTGGGAAGCATTGGTGATGCCTCTGGCAGTCACCTCGGACAGTCAACCTGTGAGAAGCATTGGTGATGCCTCTGGCAGTCATCTCGGACAGTCAACCTATAAGCACCTGGGTCTGTCCCGTGTCTTCCTCTCAGCGAGCCTTCGACACTTCCTGTGGCCTCAAAGTGCACCTAGCCTGGCACAAGCGCCTGGTGACGTCGCTGCCACTGAGTGTCGAATGGCGGCTGTTCTTGGTGAGTGATGGTGATCGTTGTAATGGGATGGAGTGGTGGTCCGTGTTGTGGCTGATTCCCATGTTGGTGCTGCTACAGTAAGAGTGGTAGCGGTGTATGATGATAATGGTGCTAAGTGTGGTAGCGGTGTATGATGATAATGGTGCTAAGTGTGGTAGCGGTGTATGATGATAATGGTGCTAAGTGTGGTAGCGGTGTATGATGATAATGGTGCTAAGTGTGGTAGCGGTGTATGATGATAATGGTGCTAAGTGTGGTAGCGGTGTATGATGGTAATAATCTTGGTGTTGGCGACTGGTGATCGATGATAGTGATAACGATGGTGCTGGTAAGCTGTGGTGGTGGTTGTGATAATGGTGGTGGGTGGTGGTGGTCTGGTCGTGGTGGATGATGATGATTAATGGATATCGGTGGTTGAAGGATTAACTGAGATTCCACATTGAGAAATATTCACCCAATTAAAGTCAGCCCAATTACATCGATTTGCCAGCAGTTGATGGCCGCACATTCTATGCAAATGGATTGTCTCATTCTCGTCGTCTGTTTCCATTCTCGCTTTGAGTTCTCGTGCTAAACGGCAACGTGTGCCCATCAGTTGAACCATGCCACTACAGTCAAACTAAAATAACCACGTCGAGTACATATGCTATACACCTATTAGCATGTTGTGAAATTGTAAAACCAATGAGAATGAACGACAAAGTATCATGTGAGAGTGTGGTTGTGTCTGAGTGTGGATGTGTGGGTCAGAGGGGGGGGGAGCGGTGGTGTAGCAGTCAGTGCGCTGCACTGCGAACCCGTCAACCCGAAATCGATTCCCGCTCACGGCCAACACCAGTGACGATTATCTGAACCGGTCCTGGGCCTCCCCTAGGTCGACTCAGCCTTATTTGAGTACTTAGTGCTATGTGTAAAAACATTTCCACTTGGGAGACAAAGGCGGCCGGGCGTGGTGTTGGCCACCCACCCCCTCGTGTGCCGTGCCGGCCTTCACAGGTGCTCGCTAACAGCACTTGCCCCAACAGTCTGTTAAGGCTACACGAGGGATATTTGAGTGTATGCGAGCATGGTTGTATCTGAGTGTGGATGAGTGTCAGTGTTGGCACAGTGGGGAGCGCAGGTGGTGCATCTGACAGTTATCTCAGTTTATTTATAAGACGTTGCGGAGAGTGAGGCACACACCCCTACCGGATTAGAAGCCGCATCCCCCAACTTTTGCTTTACAGCACAGAAAAATAATGGTTCTTATAATCCGAAGTATACGGTAATAATCCACTGCTGGATGACGACCTTTCCGCAAAGTGCGTGTTATTGAACACTGTTGGACCTCATCACGCTGGTGACTGCGAGGCACGGCGAGCATAGACGTGGTAGCATAGAAGTACAATACAACAATTGTTTTTTTTCTGTACTGCACACCACGTAGCCCAGCAGCCGTAGTACGCGTACCTTGTTTTAAGCAAGATGATCGCCCATCCAAGTACTGACCAGCCTCAATACATGCTTAGCTTACAAGATATGATGAGCTCGGACACATTTCGGGTGAAATGGCCATCGGCTGATGGCGAAGATATTTTCTAGTAAACCGTGAACAGATCCGCAGTCCCAGTCTACCATCACTGCCCAAAGCCAGTGGTGGATTTCCACGTTCTCATGACAGGGACGAGTCCGTCTTCAAAACGATACCGGCAACTTAGCTGGACAAAGAGTTGCAGTTTCTGCGAACGGTGCTGATGTTATGAAGCACTCGACATCGATGTGTACTTCACGATTATAAAATGCACCGCGATGATGATGATGATGTACTGTAATGAATTGTGACTATCGGATGACGATGTTTATTGAGCGCGACTACTTATTGATGATGAACACAGCACGATTATAGCGGTGAGAGCCACGCCGCACTGGGGACCATCCATTGAGTAGGGACGCATCGATCTGTCACAACGTGACCTCTCCCCCCTCCCTGGACGCACGCGGACTTTCTACCCCCCCCCCCACCCACCTGCGTTCGTACGCCTGACCCCCCCCCCCCCTACGAATCCTATAGAACGGCCGATATTTAATCCACGCAGAAACGATCAAGGATTAATAATATTAACGTGTTTAAGCAAACAGATAGTCTACCGCCGGACTCTCTAACTCATTTGAAGTCCAACGTAGACAAATTATTATCGCGGCTTCGCCCCCCCCCACCCCCGTTTGCTATGCGTACAATGTCAGTAGACCCCCCCCCCCCATACGCAAGCGCACGCGTTTGGGTTAACCCCCCCCTCCATGCGTACGTACTAAATGGATGGCCCCCTACGAACCCGACAAACCCAGTTCGATTCCCGCTCACGGCCAACGCCAAGTATCGATCATCTGAACCGGTCCTGGGCCCACTAAGTCGACTCCGCCTCAATTGAGTACCTGTCGCGGTGTGTAAACATCGTCACTGGGGAGACAAAGGCGGCCGGGTGCTCTGTGTAAAGACATCGTCACTAGAGAGACAAAGGCGGCCGGGTGTGGTGCTGCCCACCCACCCCCTCGTGTGCCGTTCCGGCCTTCAGAGGTGCTCGCTAATAGCACTTGCCCCAACACTCTGGTGAGGTTATACTCGGGGATCGTCGTCTTTGTCTTTGTACTTGAGTACGACTAACCTATGAATGCAATTGTGACTGGTACATGGTTATAATGAGGATGCAATTGAATCTGATAACTGGATGATGATGATGATATGTATTAATTATTATATGATTATGATTGTGAACATTGAATGACGATGATTATAATCATGACGATGACACACTGGCGCTGATAAATAGCCACGGCAGCAGCGGTGACGACAGCTGACCGCAATTTGAACCCACGCGCCTTCTATCCGAGAGCACTGCTGTTGCGTCTGCTGCTGCTGCTGCTGAATCTGCATGCATTGACCAAACCCACCACGGCACTCAAAAGACAAAGGGTCCCCCGTATAGCCTTCAACAGACTGTTGGGGCAAGTGCTGTTCACGAGGAGCACCTATGAAGGTTGTCACGGCACACGAGGCGGTTGGGTGGCCAGAACCACGCCCGGCCGCCTTTGTCTCCCTGGTAGCGATGTTTACACACCACACCGGGTACTCGTTTGAGGCTGAGTAGACCTAGGGGATGGCCCAGGACCGGTTCAGACAATCGTCACTGGTTTTGTTGGCCGTGAGCGGGAATAAAACTCGGGTCGCCGGTTTTCGTAGCGCACGCAAAGCGCTAACCGCTGCACCACCGCTCCCCCACGCCAAGGCACTCACTGACTCGGTCACACGCGGCACTTCAGCTGACATGAGCCACGTCTCATTTTTTGCAATTCATTAATTAAGCGCGCACATTCGTGCGCCGCTAATAAAATGCAGCAGCCTCGGCCGCTCATTAATTCATCCTCCCGGCGCCACGCCATGGCACAGATGCACTCCACTGATCAGAACCTATTGCGTGGCACAGAGATAATCCCCTGGTATAAATATATACGCCGTGCAAGATTCGGCTTGCCTCGCCTGCTTCCCCTGCCCGCCCACCCCCTCCACCAGATATTGTTTCGAAGTTGCCGATATAATATTATTATTATTCAGGGATGCTGCATTTGGGTGTCTCCCTGGCCTCTCTGTGTGCTATGAATAAGGGTCATTTCCCGAAACGTCGCATATTATCTACTCTTTTTTTAAGGCCACAGTGTTGTTGTTGACGAATGTGTTGAGGGTCTTTGTGCGCGTGTGTCATAGCAGCACGCTGGCCTTGCAATCCACAAGTCACCGGCTCGGTCGTATGTCCTGACTCGTCGGTTGAAACAACGGCCACGTTTATAGTCTTTGGTTCTTTAAGTGAAGTCACGTAGATAGAACAAATAAAAGTAAATAA